TCTCAGGGGATATGAACGCACAACTAGGGCATCTGAGCTCTTCAGAAGTTCAGCTGGGTGCTAATTGTGGGCTTAACTCCGAACGGACTGACAACGGTGAACGTGTGCTGCAACTGTGTGCGGAGCACCAGTTGTTTCTTAGTAGCACTGTTTTTATACACAGTGGGCGCCGAAGTGCCACTTGGTGTCCTCCTGTAGCTGGCCAACGATGGACCCAAATTGACCACATAGCCATAAGTTACAGATGACGTGGTTCCTTCCTGGATTGCCTCTCATACTGGAATACCTGCGTCGACTCTGATCATGCCTGTCGTTTCTCCATGAACTTTACCGGGAGGCGCACCAAGCGTCCCCTACGATTGGCAACGGAGAAATTGTCTCAGCCCTCGATCGATCAAGCCTATCAAGACGCACTGCGTACCGAACTTTCGCTGTCTTGTCCTAATGACACAGCGTCAGTGGAATAGGATCTCGGTCGCCATGCACGCCGCAGAAACATCTGCTTGTGTCACTATCCATCGTCACTGCACCAGTCACTGGATATCCGGGAGGTCGGTGAACCTGTTGGAATCTAGAAGACACCTCCCGGCTGTCTCTGAACACAATGTGACCAGACGGGCTATTAGGCGTGAACTAAAGCAGAGCCTGCATGCTGACAAGGTAGCCTGGTGGACCAGTCACGCTCAAGAAATGGTGGAGGCAGGAGCAGTAGGCATTTACCGGAAGCTCTTCCAGGTAATCCGCACCACCTGTCCCAGGAAACCAGGCGTCAGTGAGACAATCATAGACAGCGCGAGTGTACTGATGCACAATAAGGAGCGCCGTATGGTTCGTTGGGCGGAACACTTTCGAGATCAGTTCAGCTGGCCCCCTGCTCCCGGACCTCTTCCTACTCAGGTGATGCAGGACGAGCCATGGACGGTTAGTTTAGAGCCTCCGTCGGAGGCCGAGGTCCGAAACTCGATCACAGCCCTTAATTGTTTTCTTGCCGCTGGCCCGGATTCCCTCCCACCTGCACTATTTAAGGATGGAGGTGAGGTTTTCTGCAAAGCACTGACCTCCCTATTCGAACGTATCTGGAACGAAGAGAGTGTGCCGGCTAATTGGAGCGAATCGATTATAGTGGCAATATACAAGAAGGGCAGTCGCAGACTGTGCGAACCACAGGGGTATTAGCCTAACGCCAGTTGTGACAAAAGTATTGGCCTCGATTATCGTTCATCGCCTCACTGCGGAACGGGACTATCGGATTAGGGAAGAGAAGGCCGGTTTCCGCCCAGGACGTGGCTGTATAGGCCATATATTCACTTTGCGGCAGGTGCTAGAGCAGCGCCACGCATACCGCAGACCGACAATAGCTGTGTTCCTCGATTTTAAGAGTGCGTTCGATTCAGTCGATCGACCGATCGATTCTGTTCGAAATACTTGCGCGGAAAGGTGTTCCCACGAAATATGTGAACATCCTTCCTGCTCTATACTCGAACACTACAGACCGCGTCAGGGTCTACGGTGTCCTATCGGATAGCTTTCCGACAACAAGTGACGTTCGTCAGGGTTGTCCGATTTCCCCGTTTTTGTTCAATTTCGTCGTGGATTCTATCATGGAGTTTTCCCTTGGGGGTTCTCACGATGTAGGTGTTGAAGTGCTGCCTGGTGAAAGATTAGTTGATCTAGCTTATGCGGACGATATCGTCTTGCTTTTCGACGAAGTTGGGGCAGCCTAATCAACCCTGAATAGCCTGTCCAGAGTGGTCCCATTATTTGGTATGCGCTTTGCACGTGCTTTGCACTTTGCAGTGCAAAGTGTTGCTGCAGGACCACCATCCACTTGATGACCCGTTGACGCTTGCTAACGAGGAACTCGAGGGGGTTGATCATTTCACTTATCTTGGCAGCTGCGTCAGCAATGATATGCGCATAGAAACTGACGTCAGCTCACGCATTGCAAGGGCCAGAGCTGCTTTCTTGAACCTGCGGCATCTTTGGCGACAGGAGGGAGTTTCCCTCCATCTGGAAGGCCGGGTATACAAGGCCATAGTGAGGTCCGTTCTGCTGTATGGTAGTGAGACTTGGCGCGTTCGGTCTGAAGATCTGAGGCGCGTTCAAGTCTTTGATCATCGTTGTTTGCGAAGCATTGCTGGAGTAGGATAGCACCAACTTGTCCGCAACGATGATGTGCGTAGGCGAGTACTAGGTAGTGATAATCATGCTAGCTCCCTAGAACAACAGATAGCATTGAATAAGTTACGTTGGCTCGGGCACGCGCTGCGTATGCCTGGTCACCGCTTACATAGGATGGCCTAGTTTAGTCTCTCAGGTGTAAGGTGGCTCAATGCTCGAGGTGGACTGAAGTTGATTTTGCAGCAAAAATTGTAGTCACTGACGATCAAACTGGGTGCCGTTGGTCCGTCTCGTTTTCCGGGCTGGAATCCACGTGACTCGCCTTGTGCTTGGCTCGAGACTTTACAGGACATGGCTCGCAGTAGACACCAGTGGCGCGTCTGCTGCCATCTATTAATCGGATTGTCTGTTTAAAGTGTGTTTGCTGCTGAGTTATCTGCGGGGTAATGGCTAATTATGACGCGTGACAGTGAAAGCCGCAAGGCAGCTGTCTCATCGATGCCACCTTATTTTTGCTCGATAGCCAGCTGTTTGTGACGGTATTTTGTCTACACAGGGTGTAGCCGCCTTGACACTGAATGTTTGCTTAAGGCATTAAGGTTTTCAGGTAAGTATCCCATCTCTCCCTCTCCTTATTCTTTATCTCATAGGTCCTCATGGTTGTATAACAGCGAAACATTAGTTCAAATGGCTGATTTACTGCTTTTATTGACGATGATGAAACAGGGCAGGAGCTAAGGTGCTACTAAGGTAGCACGATCTGTGGGATCGCAAGTATTGGCAGGTATGTGCATGGAGCATTTTAATAGAGCACGATGGAGCTTCCCGTGCCTCACTAAAAATTTGCCGGCGCTACGTCGGGATCACCTTTGTTATCATAAAACGTGATACAAATATGGTGTCTTAAATCATTTGGATCTCATCGGTGAGGTTGTACGCTTAACCATTTAACTGAAATCTTGTAGTGCTTTACTGTCATTCCCTGACTGCTTAGTCCACCGAAGTGGAGGAACTTAACAGATGCAGGTAGGATGCTTCAGTACAGCTCTGGTCACCCAAAGCACGTATATGCTGGGATATCTTCATCTCTGTTTCACAGAGCCCCTAGATTCTGTGTACCTAGGAGGAGGGTAAGGGAGCAACTTGAAAACTCAATGAGCGAACTGTTGGATAGTGGTGGGGCGCCAGCTACAGATAATGTTGGGCCCACACCCATAACTTACCATAGAGTAGCTTAGGATAGTAGTAACTCCTTACGAAGAAGCAAATTTGGTAGCCATACAGAGAGTGTTAAACAAGACGAAAATGAGGGTGCTTTTCCAAAATCCCGTTCCACAACTGGTGCATTTGGAGAACTTTTCTCTCCGTAGGACGCTGGATTGCAAATGCCACTCTGTGCACATAGGCCAAACCGCGAGAGTTGTGTACTGTGAGTGGGGAACACAATAAACACATTACACAGCCGCTGAAAAACGTGCCTGAATACACGGCTCTACTAAGAGATTCGGCAGTAGTGCTGCACGCACTAGGCAGCGCATGTAATCGACCTGAACAACGTAGAGACCATTAGGTGGGCGATCAACACCTTGAATGGGCATTCCCTAGGTGTTTGAAACCAGAGCCAATAGCTGCGTGAACAGTATTGTTGGAGTGGCGCTGTCAACTGCGTAGAGAGTTGTCAACTCAGCCAGTCTGATGAGCGTCAGTGGGTCGAATCAGGCTGGAGAGCGAACATCCAACCACCCCAACGCTCACCACTGACGAGGATTTACGTGCGGCGACTTCGTAACTTGAACCAATTGGAACCCTTCCACTCTTAACGCAACACGTCGACCTCTAACAGTGATAGCTCTCTACCACATCCCTAGTTTGTCGTGCCTATCCTCCCAGTTTATCACAAATATTATATTCCTTCACTCGGCGTAGAAAGTGAACTATTGCCAACAAAAATACCGACCGATCTTTTTCAACCCTTTTAAAATCATGACTTCTCGGTCGGTGATATGCACATTTCTTACTCACGTTCCCTTATATCACTACGACTGGAAAAGTGTTATCATTTTATTTTTGACCTGTGGTCGAATCGAGGGCGCAACGATTTCCACCGATTTCCTTTATTATCGTCGTAAAAATCCCTCTTATGTTCCCTGTTTCTCGTGTTTTTTCCATCATACTTGGGTCCTGGTGTCGCAAGCGATTTGCTTTAGACAGTCTTTTTGGCGGTTTTTGTCCCACAATGCGTCCTCTAATCGCGCTTTATTATGACACATGCCTACAGCATTACCATCTCTGTGAGCAATATAGACTAACGTAATGAATAAACGACCTTCTGTCTTGAGTTGCCGCATATTCCTCGCTTATTTTTATCAAGCTGGTCACAACCGCAGTCCGTACACTCAGTAAGTACTCAGAATCAAAAATGGAATTAATGACGCTCGCAAATCTGATTTTATACTTCATGTCTTCCGGTATAACGCGATATTCTGGATGACATTTTCGCTACTGGTCCACTTTTAAACTCCTCGGGAATCTATGCCAGATGAGATTCGCTATAGTGTGCCATTCTAGAGGTGATCAACACGGAATCGTCGATGCTCTTTACTTTTTCATGCAAGCCTAAATGACTTATTTATTTGTAAAAACGGTATTCAATCCGGCTGTCGTAACATACAAAGCGTAATGCTTGCACTGATGTAAGCTCATCTCTTGTGAGTTTTAAACTTTCACCTGAACCTTGGGCGCTATCCGACGTTATACTATCATCGTTGGGACAGCTCGCATCAACCGATTCTGTTCATCCTAACGACCCCACTGATAATAACAATCCTGTTCTTCAGGTCCCTTTGGATTCTGAGCTTCATTTTGGCGCATCTACTCGCATGTACATTATCCGCGAGCGTCCTAACCCTCTGTACAGCGGGTCCGAGGGCATTGCTGTGAACCCCGATGGTACCAACCCGATGGGTCCCGAAAATCGTCCTGCTACAGGTGATGAGAATTTGACTATGAATTCCTTGGGGCTGTTGCACTCGCATCTACCTCAATCCGAAGTGGAGCTGGACAACCTGACTGAGTTCAATACGGCTCACAATCGGCGAATTGCCAGCATCGTGGACGTTGCTTCCAGCCCGTCCGTGTTGGGATTACGTCAAATGAAGAAGCGCAAGCTACATAGCGTGCACTTCAATGATGCAGATGAAATTATAAATCCAGAAGATGTCGACCCATCAATTGGCCGATTCCGCAACTTGGTGCAGGAGACCTTCATCCCGAATAAGGTAAAATTTTCAAACACGATGCAGTTTCTAAAGACCTGGAAATGACTCATCACTTTACGTTAGGGCGTTAAACATACTGTTTCTCCCTTTACAGTTTGTCATACTTGCATTTCGGTTCAAATCGTTAAGAATTAGGTTCGACCTGCACTTTGCTATTCATATGGTCGTTGCCGTCTATAATTAAACCAGCTTTTTAGTTCGGGTGTGACATCTGTCTACCGTTGTGTGTGAACTAATTGTTTTCTGTTTCGCGACAGTATTCTCTCACAGTTATTCCATGATGTTAACTTCTGCCACTGTTCTTCACAACTGTGTGTTACGCGCCCTCCTACTCAACAAAAGGACGGCAATTGCATCCGGCTTCAGTTGAAATTTTACGCCACGCATTTCTCTGCTATACTTACCCCCAATTACCGGGGAATTATTCCAGAAACTCAAGAAACTAGGGAGTGCGTTTCCACGACGTTTTTTGCAGGATCACTCTGTTGCTTTATCCGAGCTGTTTTGATGTATAACGCGTTTAAACCCATCGCATATTTATTTCAACCAAATAATACTAATGTGCTAGCTGTACACCGTAACCACGCTCCCGTGCGACCACCACCAGTTGCACGCTGGCTGAGTATATCGCGAGGGCGCCCGCTCCTACGCGGATTCGAACCCGCGACGCAAGATTACGAGCCGAACCGACATCCGTTGTGCATAATACATCCAAGTGGGTGCATTCATAGGTTTACCCACTCTTAATCTGCTTGCAACCATGAGTCGATTTCAAGTTGTTTTTCTGTCCTCAATGTGCTAGTCGAATAAGCTTACTTTTATACGGCCCTGCGATGCCGTTTAGAACGCAGTAGAGTTTCCTAGAACGAGTAATTTTGCAAATTATGCGGATACTATTATACTTTACACAGAATATTTTGGAATAACCACCGCTTTATCTGAATGTCTTTTGGCTCCTGTGTTTCAGTTGGCTAGGATTAGCTTTGGTGTTCGTATCTTAACACTCCCGCGGCCACACCGATCATTTGAGTAGGCTCACTGCTACTATTATAAATAAATAAAGGATTTATTATCGACGGCGCGAGACACGCCTTCAAAGGCACGGGTATGATAATACAAACGCGTAACATCAGTAATGGTGCCGAAATGTTATAGGCCAACCAGTACATACTGGATATATATGTGGATGTATGTGTAGTATGTATGTGCGTGCATGTGTAAATTATCGTGTTGTGAATTAGTTACTAATATTTTGAATTTGTGTGTTTGTTCAGTGAATTCGCCAATATGGGAATGGCTCAGATGAAATTCTTGAAGCTGTTGACATTCATGAAATAGGTAAGATCCTCCGGTATGGAAAGGCAGTCACTTTATCTAGTGACGAGTCATATCCGCCATGTCACAGTGTTGTTAAAATCAGACCTTTGTGCCTTTTTATATGGAGAACGCTTACCGGACGAAAACTCACCACGTCCTGAACATTGCCGCCGAACTATTCGCTGGAACAGGATTAACCCTAACCACCCAACTGGCATCACATGGAGGTTGTTCGGCTAGCCAGCAAAAAATGTTTTACTCTATTTACTTCGGCTGACTCGGTTTCATTCGCACGATTCCATCGTAATGAGACCAGATCTTGGAATGCTGTAATGGGTTTGGCACAATCACGAAGTGACATTTTCCTAAAGCTTTTTTAATCACAATGTAGTTAAGGATTAGCCACTAATGTCTCTTAATCTTCCGTTTGATAGAAACCGATTGGACCTCTTCTCTAATCTTAGTCCGATCGGCACACATCTTGATTGTCACGACTTGCTTGTAACCTTAGGCTTGCTTGCCCCCTATTCGTTTCTACCGGAATGTAATTTCATTTCCCCTCAAGCTTCCATGGGTATAACGAAATCAGTAGTTATTGCCGCTAACATGACTCAGTTAGCGGAATGGGCATTAGAACACTGTAGCAGTCAGCTTACTCTCCAGTTGTATTTAAAGGTCAGTCTGGGAACCTTCGAATTACGCAAAGTTATACCATTTCCAAATTCAATATCACTAAGGCGTACATGCGTTTTTAGGAGTTTCTACTGAACACTATTTTTACTAACGTTTCAAATAAAGCGATGAAGACGAAACCAGGCACTTGCTGGCATTTCGCATTGTCTCCTCAGTGCCAAAAACAACGACTGGCTACTCCAGTTCGACCGATGAACTTCAAGGTGGACGTATATGGCAACTTGGTTTCTATGAAGTTGACAAACACCTGTTTTTGTGCGCGCAGTGCAGTCTTCACCTACAGTTGCATCGAGTCGGACGCCTTCTTCTGGTCAAAATCTACCCAATCCTAACTATTCTTTGGCAAGCTGGCAACGCACGCTAATTAAGATGCACTTCGCATCTTCGAGGTGCGAGTTGTTGCTACAGAATTACCAGCAGTCTGCTAGTGGACTATCAACTGGAAATATTTGGTCACTCAGTCTATCATAGCCACCTTGTTAACCGCCTTGAGCGTTTGACCACTGCAGCTGCTTCACGTATCTTGAAAGCCATGACCACCTTCATGAATTCGCGACTTTTTTCTAAAGGTATTGCGTACAAGACAGTGCTGAAGACCATTCTTTACAACAGTAAGATCTAGCAATTTCGGTCTTTAGACTTCGGGCAGTTTCGGGTTTTTCTTAGTATCTTTGAGTTGTGACGCCGATCATGTAAGTTCGGGGCGTCGACGAATACCACTGACTGACTTGATTTGTGCGCTTGTCAGGCTCATCCAATTATCATTTTTTTGATAATTTACTGGTTCATCCCAGCTACTCACAAGCCAGATTCGTCTAACCCCAATCCGTAAAGCACCATGCGCACGTTTCGCTCTATTGGAGCTCCTCTATGGTGCTCATTCCCTCGATTTCCTGCTGGGGACCGAACTCTTGGCCATTAGCACTTTACGCTAACTAGCCAGCAGCTTATGCCACTATGGGGAGCGGAGAAAGACCGTCTGAACGGGCAAGTTAACTCGGATATAGCGCAACTTATCCTCCACTGCTACGCAGGTTCCTAACATTGCAGAGGACTGGCCGATCTCCTAGGTTTCGACTTTCACTACACAGTACCTATGTTCTCATTGCATTTAAAAACCGTGAGGGTGAGTGTTTAGATTACTGATAGGTAGGAGGATTCTCTATCGACATGAGAATATTAAGATTCAGAAGGAGTAACCAATGGCCTGGAAGTGGTAACAGATTTATTCGACAATTAGATTGATTGATGTCAGTCTCCTCCGATCCGCTCTGTTGAGGTCCACTCTGTACTTGGATCGCTGTCGGATAGGGTATGGCTAGTGAATCATACCAGTGGCTTACTCACTGTGCTATCCCGATCGTATATTCTGTTCGAAATGTGCACCATTCCATATCATGTCGTTTCAAACTTGTCGTTATCATCCACATGATGCTGCAGCAGATATAGCCCTGTTGCATCATCGGCTTCACCTCAAGGAACGTATGCAGAAAGGCTGACGTGCTACTTGGTTCTGGTTAGCTTCAGCGTTTTCGGCTTCCTTTTCCAGTCACTTCGGCCGGTGTGACACTTATGTCACCTCGCAATCGCTGTTAGACAGTGCGTGTGCAAGGGGCACGTGTTTTCGCGTGCTTCACCTCTATTCCTGCTTTATATACCAGGTTTAGTTACCTTTGATGCAATGGTTGGCGATTTGCCTGCTCATCGGATGCCATCTCTGGTATGAGTAGCTCAAGAGGCTTGCTAGTCGCTCCCTTTGTAAATGGGATGCATCTTCTTAGAAGTACCAAGCTCAGAAGGTAGTTCCAGTATGAACCACCAATCTCCAATATGTTTACTTCCATTAAACGTATTTACCCCAAATTCCCGCCTTAATTTGTGTTGCGGGACAATCCTGAGCCAATCGTGACAACCATCTGCGTGCTTCTTAGCCTTGTTCGTCTCTAAACCATATGTGGACCTTGTGGACGGAGTTCTTATTGGTCTCATGTAAGCAACGTCTGTATTCATATGCCTCCCGTAGGTGTTTGAACCCATACTGGTAGGTGAACCCACAAACGGATACTGCCAACCGATTGGTATGATAAGGATACTTTACATCGAAAGCCAAGTTTGGTTATCTCGCGATGTGGTCATGTTGTTAGCTCTGTGACTCTAAATGTCTGTTCTGGAAGTTTCAAGTTTTTTCTTTAGTCTTCCTTAGTGAGTTCACTCCCTGCTTGTTGTTGCAGTGGTGATACACAAGAACATAATAGTTGTGTGCTATTTTTGAGGCAAATCTATCATTATTGCCTTCACCAAAACGACTGTTTACCGTCATTTGCAAACTGGATCTTGGTAGCTAAGCCCACTGCACTTAGATTCCCGAATGGATAACCGTGTTTGACCTTCTTGGGAGATAGATTAATCCGGAGCATTAGTAGGCCTATATCACGTTTACCCTCGACCTACCTGCTGCAACGTGTTTTACACAATTACCAATGCACACATCTAACCTTTATTACTATGTTACATGCTTTCATTCTACTAATTGCTTCATCCCAGCTTACTGCTCACTGAGATCACAGTGACACATCGGCCTAGTGCAATTCTTAACATTTCGCACCCTCTTATTGCAGCGATCCAAAGGTCATGAAGGAGAATTTCTGGGTGTCGCCGCACCAGACAGTTCCGAGACTCTGAAACGGTCCTCCGATAATGTTGTTCGTTCCCCTACCAACGGCACACTACCAAACACATCGACCACAAGCAGTCTCATGTCACTGAATGCCCTTTTCGGGCCCACCTACAGCTTGGCAACCAAACTGGGCCTTCCCTTGCCCAACCTGGCCCCGGATATTGACTCGGAACCACACGAGCCAACTTTACCCCCTACACTAGCAATGCTACATGCCCATGCGCATTCTCGTCCAGGAACACTAACAGGAGCGCTGGCAGATGGTAAACAGAACGCTCGATTGAGTGCAAACGATATCCTCGGAGCAGATAATGAAGGACCAAATGAAGTTCTCGAAACGGGTCTCGTGGAGTCGGAATTCCCGAAACGCAAGAAGTACGCAAAAGAGGCATGGCCTGGCAAGCGACCCGGGCTTTTGGTTGGACCCACTATCTAACCTAACCATTTTTGCCTGCACTCCCTCAAGAATGAACCGCATATGCTAACAGACGTGATATCCCGACCATTTGTACAGTTACTCACCTTTTTCGCCGCATGGTCCGCGACGGACCGGTTGTTGTATTCGCGTATTCCAACCTACCTATGTTCTAATTTTCTGTACATAATGCCCTTAGTAATCTAAGAGCCACGGGAATGCATCGGTCGTTCAGCATGTGCATTCTTTAAAACGCATTAGTTTGGTTCTTTACCGCACAACAGGACATGTGGATTCAAACTTTTACGACACGTACTTTGTGCCATACGGTCTACCTGGATGCGTTACTCGATCCTTTCTGGCTGTCATACCCATTAGTTTCAGCCCAGACTCTGAAATTCGACAAACCGTTGGTATTTTGCGCGCTTCCACTCTTCATTTCCCCCTCGCAAGTTACAGATCTCGCGCACTTACTACTACGCAATGTCGCCACAACAGGGCTAAATGATGACACGCCTCTATTGTTCCCGGTATCCGCAGTAATTCAGAGCCTTAGATCTCTGCCTACTTATAGTATCGCATTAGAGACGCTATCCTATTGAGCACATACCGTGGTTCGTTACCGACTTACCTTAACTTTGCCAGGAAACGCGGTGTGAGCTCTGTTTGCCTGATGACCATGAAATCGACTCAGTCCAAGCCTGTGCAAACCTGCCAGCACTCCTAAGGTGCTCAACGCATCATCACTGGAATGGCACTTACTACCATGCGTGGCGTAGGATTTGTGCCTGCTTCATTACCAGCTGGTACAACCTTCGAAATCATGCTGAACCTCTTAGGACTCAGGAAACTCCTTCCTATCCCTGATCGATTAAATGGGCCATCTTGCCTTAACTATAACGGAAGCCACAATTCGAACTCGGAGGGCTAGATAATCTAGAAACGGCAGAGAACTACATAGCTCTTCTTAACTATTCTGGACCATGTCTCGTCTGTCACCGAAAGTCAGATAGCATCGGTACTTTCACTAACTGAATATTGCATTGTGAGAGCAAGTAGAAATTTAAATCTGTACAACTCCATCGGAATATAATCAAAGACGTTATAAAAAGTATTTGCTACTTGTGATAGTTGAATCGTTCCTCAAGTTGTTCTGTAACATTTAACAATATCTGGCTTGCAGTTTCACTGGGCTTACATTTGTAAGCGTGCAATCGTTCTCTAAATCAATTATTGGTGAAATGTAATGACCTCAAGCTTCCCCATGTTATGACACCACGCTTGACCCTTTCACTAATGATGCCCAAGCCAGTGTGATCACTTGATCGCATTAACCGGTCAATTCACTTCATTGATTCATAGTATTTAAATACACTGTGTTTGATTTATTCCTATCATCTGTGGTGTGTTGGCCTGATGCGAACCACCGAAAACAAGCTTGTTCGCCTAACTGTCTTTTGATTCTGATGTCATCTCAGGGATTATTTTCTCAGTTGAAACAATCCAAGGATCCCACTGTGTTGAGACAACTTAATCAGTACGTTAGGTTCAACACGAGACTTGCTGTAGCGAAGGCGACGGTGCAGTTTCTGGATGAATGCCTTTTGCGTAGTGAATATCCCAAACACTTTTGGAAGATTCTCAGACGTAATGGAGTTAAGCCAACGAGCACTGCTTTGAAGCGTCACACTCTGAACAAGCGAGACACCGTGGTTTCTCGGATTGATGAGCTTGACCGCAAGCGGTGTAGCTACTCCGACGCACTGAGTGAATTGGACCATGAGGAATACAAACAGTTCGATTCATTCGTTCAGCGAATTATGGCTCGGCAAGTGGAAGTGCGAATAGCCTCATTACGGCGACAGATCGCTTCAATAACGCAGAGTAACTCGTTTCCACCTGACCCTGAGAAGTACGTGCACAATTTCTCCTCTTTGCAATTAGATAGAACACAAATGGAGGTCCTCTCACTAGGCCCGAAATTCTGTTACCCCCGAGGTAATGTACAACAGTTAGACTTGGAAGTCCAATTTGAAAATCTCTATTCTCAAGTTTCTACCTTAACACCATCATCAGCATTAGCAGCCGAACAGTATAAATCCACATTGGTAAACACATGCTACCAGTACCTGAGATACAAACCGACCATCAAATATCTTCTAAAGAACAGGCATTTGGACGCTCTGAAGGAACTCAAGAAAAACGAGGATGTTTTGTTATCTAGACCGGACAAAGGAGCCGCGATTGTATTGATGAACAAGTCAGATTATATTGATAAGATGAACACCATCCTAAGAGACGCATCGAAAAGTGCAAAACGAGAAAGACAGGACGCCGGCAATTGAGAAGACCATGACAAGATTTTTGCGGCGTTTGAAACAAAATAACATCATCGACTCTGACACTTTTGAATACGCCAGACCTAGTGGAACCGTGATTCCGAGGCTTTATGGCTTACCTAAGATCCACAAGCAAGGTGTACCGTCGAGACCGATACTGGACATGTACAACTCTCCCTATCATCTGACTGCTAAGTGGCTTGTTAAACGCCTCGAGCCGGTCAGGAAAGCCATATCTAGGTACGGCCTCCGGGACACTTTCGAATTTCTTGACTCGGTGCAACAACTCAATCTAGCTGGACGGAAGATGTTCTCACTAGATGTGACGTCACTTTTCACCAACGTCCCGTTAGAAGAGACCATTGACTACCTCTGCGAGTTTATCCAATTGCACAACATCAACATCGGTATTCCAAATGACTGTTTAAGGCAACTTATATTGGCGTGCACTAAGAACATTCAGTTTCAGTTCAATGAGACGTTTTACAGACAAATAGACGGAGTAGCTATGGGTTCACCATTAGGACCGCTACTCGGCGATGTCTTCATGAGTAAGTTGGAGAACACTCAGCTAAACGAATGTATCAACAACTTGGTTTACTACGGTCGATACGTAAATGACATATTTTGTGTTGCGGATGGTCGAGTATGCATCGAAGATCTGTTATCCCACTTCAACGCTGCACATAACAACATAGTGTTCACCATAGAACTTAAAAGTAACAACTCGTTGTCATACTTAGATGTCCACATCACCAGAACATCAGACGGGACAGTACAAAGGAGAGTACATAGAAAGACAACTTGGACCGGCCAGTATACCCATTTCGCCAGTTTTGTTCCAATGAGTCAAAAACGCAACCTTGTCCGTTGTCTAACGGAAAGAGCGAGGGAAATATGCACGGAAGATACACTGTCAGATGAACTGAGTTTTATTCGAAGCGTTCTCGAACAAAATGGTTATCCGGACAATTCATCCGGAGACACATGGAGCCACAATCACCTAAAGTCTAACCAATCACCGCTGAAAAGCGCTTAATCTACTTATCACTGCGTTTCAAAGGTGATGTGATAGCAGAACGAACTACTCGAAGGCTCTGCAATGCAACAGCGAGAACCTACTTTACAGCTGACCTCCGCGTCAGCTTCACTTCTACGCCAGTCGTGAGCCAGCATCTCAAGGACAGATTGCCGAGGTCGAATATTTCCTTCTGTGTGTACCATTTTTCTTGCTCATTTCGAGCAAGTTGTATTGGAAAGACGACCAGGAGACTGTCTGAGAGAGTACGAGAACATTGCCCGGCGTGGCTCTACACTGGTGTCAGAAAGACAGTAGTCAGCGCGGTGCTGGGGCATTTGGCCGACACAAATCATCAAGTGAATGTGCGAGAGGCCTTCCGGCCTATCTACAAGATATCTGGACGCCACACGCGAACCCTCCGATGTCGCCTATTGGCGACAGCGGAAGCAATCGCTGTTCGGCTCCATAATCCCGAATTATGTGCCCAAAAGAAGTTTGTACAGGCTCTACAGCTGCCATGGCCTCAAGCTTCCCCATGTTATGACACCACGCTTGACCCTTTCACTAATGATGCCCAAGCCAGTGTGATCACTTGATCGCATTAACCGGTCAATTCACTTCATTGATTCATCGTATTTAAATACGCTGTGTTTGATTTATTCCTATCACCTGTGGTGTGTTGGCCTGATGCGAACCACCAAAAACAAGCTTGTTCGCCTAACTGTCTTTTGATTCAAATGTAAATGCATTGAAGTTTTGGACCGCTGCACAGATCTGGCCTCCACGACTTATTTTCGCAGACTGTTCCAAACATCAATCACTCTTCGTTCGAAGCACAAAGGGTGATGAACTCGCTTTGTATCCGGCACCACAAGCTTGTACTGATATCTGTGTGTGGTGCATGCTGCTCGCAGGTGAAACGGTAGCCTTAACATGGGGAAGCGGTAGGTTGCACCCGACGATGGGTGTAGGGTACTAGTTTTTCACATCGGTCTTCGTATGGTAATTCTCGTAAACTCGGAATGAGTTTGACCCATTCGATCTTCCGTACCTCACCTCGGGTGCTTGGGACAGTAGACAGACGATCCGCACTCCTGTATTGGTCTTATGATAGAAAAAGAAGCGAGTGGCGACCTCTTCAGACCAAGTACAGAAGCTGCGTTTGGTCGCCCTTAGCATGCGCAAACCGTTACGATATAGCCTGTTCGTGTTATCCAATTACTTCAAGTCTCAGCGCGAGAGTGAACCTAGGTCCTTCACGGAATGTGTGGGGTGTAGTGGTTGGCAGGCCATGATGTGCGTTCGGTCGTCGTCACCCTTTCTCACGCTCATGAATATCGACTTACTTGGGTTGACCGAGAGGAGGACTTTTGCAGTCCACTTCGAGAGGCAATCAATGTATTGTTACAGTAGGTCACAGTCGTCTGATGTCGTTTGCATACAGGACACACAACGACCGAAGAAGCTGAGGTAGCTCTTTGGTGTGGATTTAAAACAGACTGAGCCTCAACACCGTGCCTCGACGGATCTCAGTCGGTTAAATGGCCATCGACCTATATCCTCCACTTTCGTTCACCGAAAAATTCCAGGATCCACTATTGCAGTGTTCCACTAATACCGCCCACTCTCAGCTTGAAAAGAAAGACTTCATATTTTGCCTTGTCGAACACTGTTAAAATCGATGTAGGATATGTCGACAGATTTCCCTGGTTCATTACCTTCAACCATTCATGCTTCCTCCCCAGCAGGTTGGTAATGCGTAAGCGGCCTAGCACAAAACCGCGCTCTGTTGTCGTCAGTTCACCTTTTTATTGGAACGGCGTTAACTGATCGTTCTCCAATACTTTGGCCAAAATAACTCAGACAAATCGGACTGTAGTTGTTTACTTTGCGGGGGTGAACGTCCTTCGCAATCGGCCCTACTACAGAGCATTTCTAATCAATCGGCTAATAACCTTCGGACGGCGACCTGTTGAACAAGTCAGTCACGGCAGGTGAGATGATGGCCGATTAAGATATTTGAGACTCAGTGGACGGAGTCCGTCATGACCAGCAGGTTTGGGGCCGTGAAGGTTGGCGATTACTCAACGCATCTCTTCAACACCACCATCTAAACTTTCGAGTTCGCTAAGT